ATATTCCTTTCCTCTTCCTAATAAACTTACTACCGCTTTCCAATTCTTCAGTAATTATTCTATGAAAAAGTAGGGGCAAAAGTAAAAATGAAATAGAAAAAAATACATAAACACCTCAAAGCTTCTTCCCCCATAGCAAAAATACAGTAAAACTTAATCAGCTCAGTGCCAGATTCCAAAGCTAATTTATTTCTGTGCACTTAATATCATAGAAACTTACCTCTTCCTCTAGATCTTTCAGTTCCAGTTTTTTAAAAGCTCATGTGAAAATACTTTAACATGTAAAGTTCTGTCAAACACCTCTTATCCTTGAGAAAGAGTCTAAATGTCTACTATATCCTGTACTCTTCGTTTCCACACTTGACTATGATCCTGTTTGGACACTTGTGTGGCAAAGGGGTGCCACAGGTGGCGTTTTGACTACCAACCCATAATCCATTTTCATGGACATCACTCCTAATTAAAATATATGTAATATTTATATGTATATATGTAATATATATACACAAACACACATTTCCTTAAATATACTACCTTTTTAAGATCTACAAATGAAAACAATAATTCTGAATTTAGAAACTGGTAAACACTAAATTAAACATTCTATTCTATTGCTTATGCATATAAGTCTACTTATGGGTTATTAAGAATTCATTGAGGATCCCTGGTGACACATTAGTTAAGCACTCAGTGGCTAACTGAAACATCGAAGGAGGCCAAGGCTATGAATAAACAAGTCCTAATTCACCAAATTCTTAGAAGAATGATACAACAGTCTTCCTAAAGATTTACAGCCATAGACACCCTACGGAGCAGGTCTACTCTGTCTCATACAATGTTTATGAGTTAGAATTTGACTCAACAACCATGGATTTTGGTTTTGGTGTTAGTTTTTGAGAAACTATTACTCATTTCAATTGGAGTACATGATTTTTACTATGGAGAATATATTTACAGATAGCTTTCCATAAGTTAGCATGAGATTTTACTGTCTTATTTAGGATTTTTAAAAAAGGAAATAGAGAATAAATGTTTTTAGTGTTTGTGACAGCTAACAGAAAGCACCCAAGAACACTGGAAACATGTTAACCAGTAAACCTTGTCCACAACCTATAAACTGATTTCCCCCATGAAGGGCCCCTTTGCAAAGTTCTAACTACTAGTTACTCCCTTTTAATTAAATGGGCAATGTCACAGAATGTAAAAGCTAGCTAGTCTTTGGAAGAAAATCAAACAAGATTGCTGAGCCAAATTTTCATTCCCTGAGTACAAGTGATGTAACAATTGTTCTCAGCACAATCAGAAGCTATCAGTTGAACAAGAGCTGGGTAATTTCCATGTTTATTTCATATAAAAATGAAACATTCTGGTAAAAAATGTATAAATATTAGAACTCAAACAGCCTCAATATTATAAAATAGGTAAAAGTAGTATTGATTCCTATTACTTGAGTAATACAAAGAAAGTATCTGCCAAATGTAAATAAAGTTACCAGTAAATTGAAACTATTACTTGAAACATTGAGGCAAGAAGAAAATAGAAGCCCTTTCACGTAAACTTAATAGCTACTATTCAAAAACAACAATTCAAAAACGATATCGTGGTTGCTTATTAGATGTTTTTAGTTTGAATCACAAGGTCGGTATTTCAAACCCACCAGCCATTCATCAGAAACACATTACAGGGTCGCTATGAGTCAGAACCAACTCAACGGCACTTAACAACACAACAGTAGGTGTATTCAGATTGTTAGAATTCCAGAAAGAGCAAGAACTTATCAGAACATTTAGTCTAAGGATACACTTAAGACCTTTTATAGGCCAGACAGTTTTAAAAAAAAAGTGAGGACTTTGTTGCCCTATGAGAATGGAAGAATATATATTACAGTCTTTCAGTTTTTCAAAAGAACCCAGAAATACAGCATTTATGTGAATTCACTTTTTTAATATTGACAAATGATTCATAAATTTTTAAACAATGGATGAGTCCATTTGACCTGTGATATAATCTCAGGTCCTAACTGCTGCTCCACGGGAGAAATGTGGCTTTCTGCTCCCGTAAAGATTTACAGCCTTGGAAACCCTGTACAGGGTCATTATGAGTAGGAACCAACTCCACAGTACTTAACAATAACAACAACAACTGCTGCTACTTGCTCTGTGCTGTTGAGTTGGTGCCAACTCACAATGACTCAACTCATAGTAACCCTGTATAGGGTTTCTGAGGCTGTAAATCTTTACACTAACAGAAAGCTTCATTTTTCTCCTGTGAAGAGGCTAGTGGGCTCAAACTGCCAACCTGTGGTTAGCAATCCAATACGTAACCCACTATGCTACCAGGGCTCCTTCAGGTCCTGACACTAGAGTTTTAAAACACATACTCCAGAGGATAAATAATTTTCCAAGGTTACAAGTTAATTAATGAAAAGAGTTTTAAATTCAGTAGTCTAATGCCTAAAGAAATTCAACCAAAATGGTTCTTGTAAAATGTATCTGACTATTTTAACCAATTCTACAAAATTAAGTATAGTCAGCATGTTGTTGCTGTTATTAAGTGCCAGCAAGTAGGTGCTAACTCGTAGAACGCTGTATAGGGTTTCCGAGGAGTGAGCAGCTAGTATATTTGAGCCAACAACCTTCCAATTCAAACTAACCTTTCAGTCCAGTGCATATCCTACTGTGTCACATCAGGATTCATATGTAGGAGGGTGAGTCAAAAATTATCTTCACTCTGGCTGTAGAATTTATTTTAATAAACTTTTAGAAAAGACAAATACAGAATTTTTTGACATAATCTCCTTGCTTTTCAATACACTTTGTCCATCTGTTAACAAGCGTTTGTATTCTTATTAAACAATGTTTCAGGCTGAACTGGGAGCCATGATTGCATTGCTATTTTCAATTCTTCATCAGAGGTGAATCTTTATCCTTGAAGGGCTGCTTTCAGGGGACCAAACAGGTAAAAGTCCTATGGAGCGTGATGCTTTTACACCTCAAAGTTTTCAGAGTGTCAACAGTGTGAGCAGTGGTGTGGGGACGTGCATCGTCATGCAAGATCACAATGCCCTTGGAATATATACATATGTATCTCTGCTTTTAATCCAGAATTTAGGATTCAGCTCTTCAGTGAGAATCTATGTTGATTTTTGAGCCTTTATCCTGATGGTGTTCTAATACTGACCCTTGAGAATCCCAGAAAACTGTAAACATCAATTTTCCAGTTGGTGGTGGATTTTTTTTAACTTTCTAGTGGTCGGCAATTGAGGATGTTTCCATCCCATACTCTGCTGCTTACTCTCAGACTCAGAGTAATGAATCCATGTCTTGTCACCAGTAACAATGTTTTTAAAGAAACTTACCTTCCTTCCAGTATTGGTCCAAATTTTGTTTTCAGATGTCCAAACTCTTCTGTTTATGCTCTTCTGTGAGTTGTTTCAGAACCCATATCTCACACAAACTTTCCAAAACCCAAGTCATGGATTATTTCCTAGGCAAAGCCAGGGCTGATTTGTAAGTGATTTGCCACATAATCGACTGTCACTCGTCTATTCCACAGAATCCTTTCACGTGCGCGCTCAATATTGTCTTCAGCTATGGAGGTGGATGGGCATTTTAGTATAATCATCATGTGGATAATTTTTTATTCATCC